CTACCCGTGGTGAAGGGAGCTGGGGGCGGTCAGTCTTGGTCACAGAATGATTATAATGTCCAGGCAAGGCAAAAGCCTTAGGCTTGTGTGGAGTGGGAAGTTAGAACTAAGAACCTCCTAGTAAAACTGTTTTTCAACCTAGAAACCCGTGAGTAAAGGGCTAACCCCAGGCCTGGACTGATTCAGGCCAGCCTACGAATGACACTGGTTTCACACAGCACAGTTTCCATGGGAATGAGAGAGTTAACATACATGGGTAATGTTTTGTGTGCTTCCGTTGCTATGTGGGACTGTATCTTGTTTGCAGAGACTAGCACAGTATAAAAGATTTGTGGGAAGAAGGAGCTGTGGTTTTTATGTCTCAAACTGACCTACAGACTTCTAAGGCTCTCGTGAGTGACAGTCATATACACCCCAAGTGGGAGAAGGGCAAGAGAGGCCGTGTACTGGGGTAGCTGCTGGGCCTGTCAGTAAGATGAAAATACCACAGAAGATGAAAGCCTTTTCTTTTGTCTGTGAGTCTGATGGTCAAACTGATCAGTAAATGCAGCTGTGTTGCTTCAGAGATGGATGGAAAAAAGGGGGCCTAGACTCAGGCAGATTTGGGGTTTGAATTTACCCTACGTGGTCTAAGAACTCTCAAGCTGAGAGTGGAGAGCAAAATAAGCTCCAAGCTCGTGATGCTCCTAAAACACCTGGCAGAACATCTGTAGAACTACTCGGGAGGGATACCCTTCTCCATCCTGGCTGCTAGGATTCAAGAGACAAAGCACACGGAAGATAAACTCACAATGCAAAAGCATAAACATACAGGAAACATCACTATGAGTGAGAATCAGAAGATATAAAACACAGCAGGGGTATACCTCCAGGAACTCTAAATACTAAAAATAAGACTATCCAATAAGTATGCTTAAAATAATTAAAGTTATAAAGGAGAAAATAGAAAACGGAGCTGAAGAAATTATCCAAAATTCATCACAGAAAGACAAAAAGGGGCTAAACAACAGGGAACAGAATAAAACACGTCTAATATATAGCTCATAGAAGTTTCTGGAGAACAGACTAGAAAGACCAGGGGAGAGAATATTTGAAGATACGTAGAATTTTTTCAGAATTAATGGAAGCCAAAAAGCACAGATTCCAGTAGAGCAAATAAAACTAAATCTATACTTAGGTCATGGTAGTGATACTGGACAACATCAAAGACAAAAATAAAAATATTAAAACCATCTAGGGATTCAGTCCAATTCCTATCAAAATACCAGTCATACTTTTCACAGAACTAGAACAAACAAATTTTAAAATTTGTATGGAAACATAAAAGACCCTGAATAGAAAACAACCCTGACACCTTATTGCCATTAAGCCTTTAAACTAAAAAAATTGTAAAGCATCTATTTAGCAGATTTGGCTTTGTTATGGTATGAATATTAATAGAAAGTCCATATGTTTCAAAGTTCTGTAAAATATGAAGAAAAGTGCTCTTAGCATTCTGTGTAAAACTGTATTGTTAAATATATGTTGCAATCGAGAAAAAAGAAAGAAAGAAAGAGAAAAAGAGAAAACAACCCTGAGAAAGTAGAACAGAGCTGGCGGTACCATGCTCCCCGACTTCAGACTATACTACAGCACCAGAGTATTCAAAACGGTATGACAGTGATCACTTCAGCAGCACATAAACTAAAACTGGAACGATTCAGAGAAGATTAGCATGGCCCTTGCACAAGGATGACATGCAAATTCATGAAGCATTCCATTTTTTTCACATACTAACTGCTATATATAAAATAGACAAACAACAGGGTCCTACTGCATAGCACAGGGAACTGTCTTCAATACCTTGTAATAGCCTACAATGAAAAAAGAATATGAAATGGAATATACACACACATATGCATAACTGAATCACTATGCTGTACACCAGAAATAAACACAACATTGTAAACCAACTACATTTCAATAAAAAAAACCCAAAAACCCCAAAACAGTAGGATACCAGCACAGAAAGACATACAGATCAATGGAACAGAATAGAGAGCTCAGAAATAAACCAATGTACTTATGGTCAATTAATCTACAACAAAGGAAGCAAGAACGTACAATGGAGAAAAGACAGTCTCTTCACTAAGTGGTGCTGGGAAAACTGGATAGCTACATGTGAAAGAATGAAAGTAGAACATTTTCTCACACCATATACAAAAATAAACTCGAAGTGAATAAAAGACCTAAATGTAAGACTGGAAACCATAAAACTCCTAGAAGAAAACATAGGTGGATTTTACATAAATCATAGCTATATTTTTTTGGATCAGTCTCCTAAGGTAAAGAAAATAAAAGCAAAAAATAAACAAATGAGATCTAATTAAAGTTAAAAGCTTTTACACAGCAAAGGAAACCATCAACAAAATGAAAGACAACCTACTGAATGGGAGAAGATATTTACAAGTGACGAGACCAGTAAGGGTTAATATCTGAAATACATAAACGGCTCATACAACTCAACATCAATAAAACAAATAACATGATTAAAAAATGAGCAGAAGACCTGAATAAACATTTTTCCAAAGAATACGTACAGATGGTCAACAGGCTCATGAAAAGATGCTCAACATCATTAACATCAGAGAAATGCAAATCAAATCCACAATGAGATATCACCTCACGCCTATCAGAATGGCTATCATCAAAAAAGACCACAAATGGGGGGAAGGTATAGCTCAGTGGTAGAGAGCATGCCCAGCATGCACGAAGTCCTGGGTTCAATCCCCAGTACTTCCATTTGAAATAAATAAATAAACTTAATTACCTCCACTCCCCCCCACTAAAAAATTACTTTAAAAAAAAATTCCACAAATAACATATCTTGGCAAGGATGTGGAGAAAAGGGAACCCTTGTATACTGTTGGTGGGAATGTAAATTAGTGCAGCCACTGTGGGAAACAGTGTGGAGGTTCCTCAAAAATCAAAAATAGAACTACTATATGATCTAGTAATTCCACTCCTGAACATATATCCAAAGAAAGTGGAAATGTTAATTTAAAAAGATCTATGAGAGGGGAGGGTATAGCTCAAGCAGTGGAGTGCATGCTCAGCATGCATGAGGTCCTGGGTTCAATCCCCAGTACCTCCTCTAAAAATAAATAAACAAATAAACCTAATTACCTCCCCCCACCAAAAAAAAAAATTAAAATTAAAGAAGAAAATACATTAAAAAAGACATATGCACTGTAATGTTCATAGCAGCATTATTTACAATAGTCAAGATATGGAAGCAACCTAAGTGTCCATCAACAGATGAATAAAAATGTGGTGTACATAGACAATGGAATACTACTCAGCCATAAAAAAGAATGAAATTTTGCCATTTACAACAATATGGATGGACTTGGAGGGCATTATACTTAGTGAAATAACTCAGAGAAAGACAAATACTGTATGGTATCATTTATTTGTGGAATATAAATAATAAAACAAACTAGTGAACAT